TTTGGCGCTTGTGTTTGCGGTTGTTTATGTTGTTGTTTGTTCTTCTTCTTTTTTTCTGGGGCTGCCGGTATTATTGCTGTTGCTCTTTCTGAACAAGGGCTCACCAGTCATCCAAGAAGGAACCAGGGCCCCTTGACCTCACTTTACCTGCATGTGCAGAGGGTTAAGTGCGCAGGATTCCAGATCCGCACACTTCTCAAACGTGTTTTTTGCTTGCCAAACCACGAGCCAGGGCAAACCCGTACATCAACTATACCCACAAGACAGCCTTTCTTCCACGGATGCCACGAAGCAAACGTTTGCAAGTCCTTGCATCAAGCGCCATTTGTGACAAGTGCAAGCGCGTTGATACCATGGGACATGTGGCAAGACTCAGCCGAAGTTCCGAAACTGGAGCATGTCAGTTGGAGGGAGCTTTCCAAGTGGCCAGTTTTTCCAATCGAGGGGAGTCCATCTTGGACAGCGAGGGCCTATTTCTTTCGGCAAAGGTCATACCCGAGCCTGTCACACCCTAAGATGGGTGCTCTGGACTAGTGCCCACACGATTTCTATCTCTTAATGGTCTCGAGAAGGATTCCGACATCGGCATGAAATCATACAGCAAAGCCATTGTAATTATCAAGCCTAATGCATTTTGAAGGTAGCCTTTCCTTTCATTGGTGTCACTGGTTTGGAGCCATAAGTCATTGCACCCCAAAACGACCCCAGGGCTCGACAGCGTCCCAGGCCGAAGCCAACCGCACAGCGCAGAAGCGCCTCGAAAATCTGTTCCCGTTTCCATGTGAGCCAAGCCTCAAGAAAGACGCGCCCAGTGAGCTCGCAGTAAAAAAAACCACATGGGGTTCTGGGAGCAGCCGTGTTACCCGAGAAATCCCGATCGGCCAGATCGTTGCGAGAATGAGAAAGATCAAGTGCGATGAGGATGGCAGGCTGGAAATCGCGCCCCCTTTTTCCGGAGTGTCGGCGGCTGGAACATTTTTGGCCGGAACAGCCAGGGGCAAGCCACCTAGAGAGCCATGGAACAGAAATGATACAGGGGATGCCTTCACGGGCTCGATCGGAATGATGGTCTTTCACGGTGTGTCCATTCTTGGAGTTGTTTCAGGGAAACTACCTGTTTTGGGGTTGCCCTATAAAAGACCCCGCGTGACTGGTCCGTGATTTGATGATGTGACCGCGTGCAAGGAACTCGAATGCGCGTATCAACCTATTTGTCCCAATATCGCCAGTTTCACCAGTTGTCTTTGATAAGTGGGTTACACCCCCATATTGAAATAAGGGCCCAACCTGGCACTGCAAACATGTAGCGGTTTCCCAATGAGTAAATGCCATGGTCAGATAGCAGCATATGCAAGGCTCCGGCAGCCGAATGTAGGTGTGTTTCGTTTGATTTGGGTCATCTCTTGACACCGGGAGCGCTAATTGCTTCTCGTGGCCCTCACACGCTATGAGAAATGGGAACTTCTGGAAACTTGCCCTCGGCAGGGACTTTCCACTCGAATCGTGGACGGGTTCTAGCTCTAGAGTCTAGAGCAGTTTGAAATGTAACCCCAAATCAAATGCCACACCATCCGAAACCCACCTGAGACCCTCAAAACCAGCCTACAAGCCCAGTTGGGTGTGTCAGTCAAAGTTCCCCCTTAAAAATAAAACAAAACAAAACAAAACACACCACCCCTTTAAAAGCGGCCCCAGGCGTGTGTCAAAGATTCCCTTCGAAGCAACGACCAGCCAGCCCTTTCAACGCTGGGATGGCGGGCGACCGATTAGGGCGAAGATCCAGAAGGTGATGCCCGCGGCCATTGCCCGGGCCTCTGGCCATGGGTGCCGAGAACCTTTGGAGCCGGGAAGGAAAAACCAACAAACATGCCAACTTTCCTTGCTCCCACGAACATGGCGCTTGTGGGGAGGTACCTGGAAGATTCATTTCCTCTTGACGGGACCCCCTGTCAGGTGCCATGTTAGTGGGAGGGAGGGTATGTCTTTGCCATTGGTTGATTCCCAAAACCCGGTGCTTCCTGACTCCTGACTGGGAACCACCGAATATAAAGAGAACCCAGGCTGACGAAACCTCCTGATTTTTGTTTGATCCAACAGGTTCATTCACTTGTTTCAACAACGCTTGCCTTTTGGTCTGCTCGGCAACGGTGCCTTGCCCATCCACTCACGAAGTGAGAGTTTTTCATCTGTGAGTTGTCTTTTGAGACCTGAATGACCTGACGTCGAAACCTTGGCTTGTCGGGAGCCTCCCCTCGTCAGCGACATGGAACCCACCAAGAAAAGGTTCACAAAAAGAGTCCCCCCCCAAAAAAAAAACCAACAACAACCCCCAGTTTTATTCTTGTTTCTGTTGGCAAGCCCGTTTGCGTCGCGAGGCGGCAGTTTGCGTCGCGAGGCGGAGGTGGAGGCGAAGCGCGCGGCCGTGGACGGCCGCGAGGCCCAGGTGCTGCGGGCGGCGCCGGAGGACATGGAGCCCACCGGCACGTGGCTCGGGGGCTGAGGCCGGGGAGTCCTGGTGCGGGGGGAGGGGGGAGGGGGGTGAGAGTTAGACTGGGCCTCTGATGTAGGCTGGATTTTTGTGGGGTGGGATTTGTGGGGGAGAGGTGAGGTGGTATGTTCTGAATGTTGTTATTGAATGAGTGTAGGGATGAAGTTGAGATGGGGAAAAATAATGAAGATGGGTATGAGAATATGTGTTTTTTTTTTGGGGGGGGGGGGGGGGTTTGGAGTTTTGGGGTGGGTTCGGGGGGTTTGGACTGGGGGGTTGGTTTGGGGGGTGGGAGTTGGGGGGATGATTGCGGCACCCTTTAGCCTTTTGGAGTAGTGTTTTGTGATCTGGGAAGGTGGCTGCCTCTTGTTTGACTTTCAGCCTGAATTGATTGCTGGTCTTTAGAACCAACTCACCTGGGATCTTTTTGGAAAGCTATGGACATGAAGTTGCTGAACGAGCGAGAGAAAGAGCAAGGCACGACATTCTTTGAACCATACTTTGCACATAACAAGAAGATGCCCGTCTTTGGCAGGTTGTGCAGGTCAAGTTTCGTGCCCTGTTCCCCGGGCCATAGATGTGCGCGAGATTGCCGCAAGACTTTCTGTTCGCATGTCCGCCAGATAGGGCCAGCCAGGCCAACGCGGCCACCGCGGCCCTGAGCACTCGCGGAACAGATGGGAAGTCTCTCTTGCCAGATGCGTTGCCTTTGGGTGTTGCCAAAATGCAGGATCCTCTACGATGGTTTTGTGGGATGAAGGGATTGTCACTTTCGAATTTCGGAGAGATGCCTCGAAGCAAGCGTGATCCAACTACAGGGTCAACCAGCCACTCGGGTCAGCGGAGGCCATACGGCGATGCATTTTGTGAGGTAACGGACTTCATTTCATTGCTTGCACTGTGCTTGATCACTTCGTTCCACGCTATTTTATCGGGTTTGGGTATCGCATTTGGGTATGTGTGAAACTAGGGCAGGGCTCCTTAAAAGATACATTTTGGAATCATTTGAAACATGGCTTTTTCAACACCAAGATAAAGGGATACCACCATTGACAAGTTGCAATGTTCAGGTGTATAATGCATCCGGATCCCTGTAGGACCCAATGATTTGTCCCTTTGCCCTTCGAAGCTAAAGTACCCTCGAGAACTCACCCATTTGTAGTTAGACTAGACCTTGCCCATCTTTTTTCTATAAAAAAACCTAGGGTCCTCCCCACACTTTTAGCAACATTTTAAAACAGCACCTCAAAAAGCACATTTTCAAAAATCAACATTTTAAAGCAGGCAATTTCCTAGTAAGTTCATCCATATTTTAAAAAAATAAATTTTACAAAATTTTAAAAAAGAAATTTTAAAAAATAAATTTTAAAAAATAAATTTTACAAAATTTTAAAAAAAATAAATTTTAAAAAATAAATTTTAAAAAATAAATTTTACAAAATAATAATAATATAATTTTACAAAATATAATTTTACAATTTTTTCAAAAAATATTATTCCAAAAATTATGATAAATTATTTTACAATAAATTTTATCACAATTTTTGTAGACATATTATGGGCAAGGTCTGGTTCATTCAAAATGAAATATCTCATAAACATAATTATTCACATCATCTTCATCAATATAAATAATATCATCTCCAAGCAAAGCAAAAATGTATCCTTTCAAAAATATCATAAGTATGTTTATTGGATGATAATAGTTATTTCTAAATTTGTATGGTGTCATTAAATATTCAATACAATAATCTGGAACTCGTCTTGCATTTTGTTTGTTGTAAAAATTTTCAAGCACACAATGAATGAGGAGCAAGTTTTTTTTAGCAAATGATTTTATGGCTAATCGGCACTGTTTATCTGTAAAGCTTTTTTTCACATCAACCGCGTCAAATAATTTGTCAATTTCTTTCTTCAATACCCTGTCATCATCCAATATAAAATCATATGTGAGAGGTTTGTTGTTGTGCTTTGAAAACCAGCGTAATTGATATTCTATTTTGCTTAAACCATCTCCATATAGTGCTTTTATTCTATGAATAAACTGTTCTTCCTGTGATATCATATTAGAACACTTGGCGCAATGTGGGTAATAATTACTAATAATATAACAAATTTCAATTGGCATTTTCTGTCTTAAAGTGAATGTATCCCTTTTATTGATTTTACAGTTTTTACAGTTGTTATAATTGAATAGCATTATTTCTATTAATATATATAATTAGTATTTCTTTAAATACTTTGTTACAAGAATTATTTATATTTTAATTTTCAACAATTGCATATTTACCATCATCGCCCTTAATAATCTTATAATATTCTAATGTTTGTTCTTTTGGACTTTTGATTTGTCCCTTATTTAACATATCACAATATTTTTTACGCTTCGTGTCATAATCACCGCTGGGTCTGCCTATCCCTTTCTTTTCAAAGATCTTATCAATCTTTTCCTTCTCTTCATTGTTATTTTTTGGTTCGTTTGCCTTTGCATCAAGTTTCTGGTCAATAGTTTTTATCATCTCGTACAACAGTTTAACATTTTTACTAACTGTCATTATCTTCTTTGATAGTTCAACAATAACATCATTTTCAACTTCAGACATTTCTATATATATTTATTTATATAATTATTTATTTAAGTATTTATTTATTTATAAAATTGATTTAATGTAAAATCTACTCTTTAAATACTAAATTTTCATTATTTGTTTAATAGTTTCCGGAGTTTCTTTATCACCATTTTCCGAGTGTGTAGCCTCATTTCCAAATTTGATAGAAATATTATGCACATCTGTTTCTAGATTGATAGCGTCCTTTGTTTTATCAATATTCATTTTTTTATCTGTTTTACTTATTTTAAAACCAACTGGTATACAACTGCATTTACAGTTACCCTTATTTTTTATTTCTAATTCATTCTTCGTTTGTAATATCTTTTTACACATAGGACACTCAAACTCAATAACTGATGTTTCTTTAACAATTTCTTCTTCTTTTTCTTCATCTGTTGAAGAAACTGTAGTATCTATTTTATTCTTTTTGTTTTTCTTTTTTCCCATTTATATTAATATTTACATTTTTATTTTTGATATATTGTATTCCTAATTTTATTAATTCTAATGTATAATAACAGCATTTCTGAATTTTATTGTCAGTTATTATTACTTGTTCTATATTCTCTACTTCATCTATTATATCAATATAATCTGAATAACTTCTATCCATATTAAATAATAAGATGAAATAATTATTAAAATAATTATTTAATCTTATTATTTTCATGCATAATAGAATATTGGTGGGGCACAGCACTTGGGGTTTTCATTGCACACGCGAGCAAGACACAAAACTAATTATCTTCAATGCTTATTGATTGAAGCAATGGAAAACCTGTTCCATTATGTTATTCACCGCCACTCATAACATAATGATGTTCCATGTAATATTAATTACAAGTTAATTTTTAAATATAATTTTCTATATTTCTTTAATATCAACTATGACAGATGTCCCAATAATAAAACCAATAAACATAACTGAATATGAATTCAAACAATCCAACTTGAGCACGTGCCAAAATTACCATTTAGAAGTATTATAGTTGCGAGTTCGACGGGAGGCAAAACAGTTTTAGTTCAGAATCTTATTTTAAATGTTTATAGAAATTCATTTGCAAGAATATTTATATTTTCCCCCAGCGTTCATAATGACCCAACTTTTACAGAAGTTAAAAAATACATCAGGGATGAATTGCACGTAGATGATGAAAAAGAACAAATATATTTTGATAATTATAATCCAAGTGATTTAGAAAATGTAATTGAAAGACAGAAGAAAATAATTAATTATATGAAATCTAAAAAGATAAAGAAACTGCATTCAATATTAATCGTTATAGATGACCACGCAGACGATCCTAAATTTGTTAGATATAGTAAATTATTACATGGATTATTTACAAGAGGTAGGCACGATGCAGTAAGTGTAATTTGTTCAACACAAAAATATAATGTTTTAGCGCCTATCATTCGTTTAAATGCCAGTTCATTATATATTTTTAGGTTGAAAAATGCAAGTGAGTTAATGAGTTTTATTGAAGAAAATAGCGCCATTGTTGATAAACAGCAATTATTAGATATGTATCATCAAGCCGTTAATGACGCACCTTATAGTTTCTTCTACGTGAATATGAATGCTAAAGACATTAACAAAATGTTTCATATCAGATTTGAACAGGCGTTTCAAATTACGAATGATGAATAAAGATATTCTAATTTAATATAATATAATAATATGTCAATGAAACTATGTAGATGTGGTGGATTTTATCGTAGAGGTAATTATAACTTTCATACTAATTCTTGGATACATAAACTTTATAAAGTGTTAAAAAGACGACCAACAGACGAGGAATTATTAAGATTTCAAAATAATTTTGTTGATGAAGAAGATTTAATAGATGATATAAGTAGTACTACTTCAACAACAATACCAGAGGATAAAATGACAGATTATGATAGCAATTAATAATATTATTATATGTTAATATTATTAATTTAAATTAACGAAGCATTGCAAAATTGTAAAGCAGGAAGTTTATATATTAATTTGTCAGATTTTTCTTTCTCTAGTTTTCAATTCGTGTCACACATTCTTGAAGAGATTTAATAATTAAAGTGTCTGCTCGTGTTTTTTCATCTATACTTAAATTCTTAATGTCTTCCAAACTATTATTTTCATTATTTTTACTTTGACCAATACCCATTATATATAATATTATTTAGATTTTAATTTTTCAAAATTGAAATGTTGGTTTTCTTCTTCTTCTTCGTCTTCAGTTGGTGCTGGTATTTCTGTTGGACTTTCAGATGAAGAACTATGGACAGTAACAGGTGGAGAACTATGAACACTAATAATTTCATTAGAAGAACTACTGCTAGCTTGTGCATTTCCTGCTGTTATTTGATTGACTAAATCTGCGATATTTATAGTTGTTGCAATTGCGCTGTGCG